GTCTCAAGACGAGAGCATATCATCCAACCTTCATACCATCCCACTCGTCCCTTCCCGCTCCCCTCTATGACTCCCAGTTGCTACCGTGCTTCACAGTTTCGTGCATTCGTTCAAGAAATCTCAACTCAAGCCGAGTACGTATAAAACAACCTTCATATCACCCCTCCCGTCCCCCGCCTCCGCACCCCCCCTCCCCCCCCCGCCCCTCCCCGCCCACCCCCCGCTCCTGTATCACTCCCAGTTGCCACCGTGCTGCACAATTTCGTGCAGTCTTTCAAGAAGTCTCAAGACGAGAACATAAAGAATGCTGAGGCGGAGATCAAGCGAATCGAGAAGGAGAAGAAGAAAGAAGCGGAGGAGAAAAAGAAGAAGGAACTGGAGGAGAAGAAAGCGGCTGAAAGAGCGGCGAAAGCAGCAAAGGAGAAAGCAGCACAGGAGGCGAAAGAAGCGAAGGAGAAGGAAGGGGGAGGGGGGGGAGGGGAGGAGAAAGCGGAGGGGGGAGAGGATGGGAAGAAGGACGGGGAGAAGGATGGGGAGAAGGAAGGAGAGGGGAAGAAGGAGGAGGGGAAAAAGGGGCCGGTTAACATGCTTGCTGCGATTAAGAAACGCCATGTGGCGAATGATAATGATGATGATGACGATGAGAAGAAAGATGAGAAGAAGGATGAGAAGAAGGATGAGAAGAAGGATGAGAAGAAGGATGAGAAGAAGGATGAGAAGAAGGATGAGAAGAAGGATGAGAAGAAGGATGAGAAGAAGGATGAGAAGAAGCATGAGAAGAAGGATGAGAAGAAGGACGGTGGAGATGCAAAGAAGGATGAAACGAAGGGTGGTGAGGGGAAGGAGGAAGCAGGGAAGGAATCGGAGGTGAGTGAGGTGGAATCAAGTAGTGATGACGATGATAGTGACAGTGAAGAGGACGAGGAGGAGGGAGCAGGAGACAAGCCAGCAGAAGGGGCAGCAGCAGCAGGGGCGGCAGCAGGTGGTGCAAAGGAAGAAGCAGCAGCAGGGGCAGCAGCAGGGGAGGATGGGGCGAAGGAGGGTGGAAAGAAGAAAGTGGTAAAGAAGGTGGTGAAGAAAGTAGTGAAGAAAAAGAAGGCTGCGGAAGGGGAGGGGGCGGCTGAAGGGGAGGCGGGGGAGGGGAAGAAAAAGAAGGTGGTGAAGAAAAAAGTGGTGAAGAAGAAGGATGGGGCTGCGGGGGAGGGCGCGGATGGGGCAGAGGGAGGCGGGGAGAAAAAGACAGTTAAGAAGAAAGTTGTGAAGAAAAAGGCAGCAGCCGATGCGACTGCTTGAGTGAGGGAAGACAACGAATGTGGTCTAGAAGTAGGATGGGGCTGCTGGGGAGGGTGCGGATGGGCCGGAAGGTGGAGGGGAGAAGAAGGCTGTTAAGAAGAAAGTTGTCAAGAAAAAGGCAGCAACCGATGCGACTGCTTGAGTGGGCACTTGGGGAGGAGTTGATGCAGCGTGGTTTGAGTCGACTCAGAACACATGTGGGGGAGAGGGAGAGGGAAGGGGGGAGTAGTAGACGGTTAGGAAGAAAGTTGTCAAGAAAAAGGTAGCAGCCGATGCGACTGCTTGAGTGGGCACTTGGGGAGGAGTTGATGCAGCGTGGTTTGAGTCGACTCAGAACACATGTGGGGGAGAGGGAGAGGGAAGGGGGGAGTAGTAGACGGTTAGGAAGAAAGTTGTCAAGAAAAAGGCAGCAGCCGATGCGACTGCTTGAGTGGGCACTTGGGGAGGAGTTGATGCAGCGTGGTTTGAGTCGACTCAGAACACATGTGGGGGAGAGGGAGAGGAAAGGGGGGAGACGAAGACGGTTAGGAAGAAAGTTGTCAAGAAAAAGGTAGCAGCCGATGTGTCTGCTTGAGGTGGCATGTCAGCAGCAGCAGCTGCGGCGGCATCAACAGCAGCAGCTGCGGCGGCATTAACAGAGAGGGAAAAGCAGGTGGTTGAAAGGAAGGCTGTGGGGGGTGAGGGGCTTTTGAGTCGACTCAACAGCAACAGCTGCGGCAGCATCAACAGAGAGGGAAAAAAAGGTGGTTGAAACGAAGGTGGTGGGGGGTGAGGAGAACAGCAGCAGCAGGAGCAGCAGCATCAGAAGCAGCAGCATCAGGAGCAGAGGAGGAGGAGGGGAGCAGGAGTGAGCTAGGCGATGGGTCGGAAGAGGGGCGGCGGGTCAAACCACTCTCGCAGATTCACCAGCGAAAGAGGAGTTGCTGGGTGAAGGATAGCTGTAATGCCAGGAGTGGCTGATTGTAGCTGCTGGGCTGGGTGGGGTTGCTGGTAGCGCTAGCCTGTAAGCCTGGGATGTTATGAGCTTTAGGCTGATGTGGAATGGTATGAGCTCGCTCGAACCTGGATTGAGGTGCGATGGTGGATGTGGCATCTGTAGCCTGTAGGTGTTAGTGGTGGCCTCGCTCAGAACCTGTAAGGGGCCTCTGTACTAAGGCCCTACTCATCCCTCATGGGGCCTCTGAGATTGGCAGCTGATACTGAAGTGATGAGTCGGTGGTGGTAGACTCCAGATCTGGATTCTATTGCTGGTCTGCAGCAATGGCAGACTGACGAGAACTCTGTTTGCAGAGGTTGCTGTCTGCAGCAATGGCAGACTGACGAGAACTCTGTTTGCAGAGGTTGCTGTCTGCAGCAATAGCAGGAGCAGGAGATTCGTAGGGACGGCTTGCATCAGCTTCTGGTTCAAGATGAGCATGTGGCTCGGCGTGTGGCTCGGTGTGTAGCTCGGCGTGTGGCTCGGCGTGTGGCTCGGCAAGCGTCAGCATGTGTCGGCATGCGCGCCGCATGCATCAGCATGTGCTCAGCATGTGCTGTCTCAGCATGCGTGCGGCATGCATCAACATGTGTTCTCTCACACACGTGGTGAGTCTGTTAGGCAGCAACTTCCAGTTTGCCCTCTCTCTTCCTCTCCCTCCTTCCCTTCCTCTCCCTTCCTCTCCCTCCGTCCCTTGCCCCCTCCCTTGCTCTCCCACCTTATGCCAATTCATCACCTCTCTCCTGCCTGCCTCTCGCCTTCATGTTGGCAACTGCAGGCTGTTTGTAGTACCCCAAACCCAAAGGCGCTAGAAGCTAATACAGGCACTATTGAGTCGACTCGAAAAGTCGTCTTGTTGGCAACTGCAGGCTGTTTGTACCCCAAAGGCGCTACTAGCTAATTCAGGCACTACAAAAGGCACTATTACTCTTCCTCATCCCCCTCCCCAACCCCCTCCCCATCCCCCTCCTGTTCCTCTCCTCAACCCCCTCCCCAACCCCCTCCCCAACCCCCTCCCCATCCCCCTCCTGTTCCTCTCCCCCGTCTTCTTCCGATCCCCTCATGCAATGCCTTCCCTATTGTTGGAATGTCACAGCACAGCTCAAGTCACACAGCTCAACACATCAAGCCCTCCCAAATCTATTGTACATATGATCAATACTGAAGAGCAGGGTTGTAGTTACATACGAAACAGCTTGTGGGCGGTCTTGGGCCAGTGCTTGGCAGGACCTCCGTTTCCAGGGCTGAGTTAGCACGAGCTGGCAGTTGAAGTTATGATCATGTACTGGTACGGTATGTAGCTGCTGGTGAATGCGAGTTTACAGTGTTACCGTATGAAGCACCAACTATTTCCGGTACATGCGGATTGTACAGTTGCAATGGAACTTCTGCAATAGCATTGTACAATATGTGATCCACACACTAGGTATAGGCAAATGGATGCACGAGTCAGTACTCAGAAGTGTTCCAGTCATATACAGTATTTTTTTCCCCCTTATAGAAGATGCTACGGTAAGTTTGCACATAAAGTAAGTTGTGGTTGAAATTGCCATCACACTTCCACTGCTTCATATGGCTTTGCAGCATTGCACATGCTGCTGCGCTGCTGCACTGTGCCTGCCAGCAACACAGCGACACACAGGGCTGACGTTTCAAATTTAGGTACCCTGATGTCCACCTAAAAAAATCTTTTTTAACCCTGAAGGCATATTTTCCAGAAAAGCAGCACCCTGATTGCTCAGTGTTGGGAAGTTATACAGTCTGAGTGTTCAGGGTCGAGAAGTCACGATCAGGGTACGTGTAGTAACGCGCTGTGCATTATCGAAACTGAACTTTGATGGCGAATCTGTTCTGTGAAAGGGCGAATGTGCAATGTCAGATACATTTTACTGTGATTGGTCAAGACCTTTGTGCTCTGACAGCTCAAATCTGCTGTGTCAGGGCCATTTCGCTGTGATTGGGCAAATTCGTTGCTCCGTACGGCGCAAATTCGCTTTGTCAACGCGAAATTTTAATGACGCTGGTGCTGTGACCAGTCAAGACGGGTTTTACTCACCAGTTTGACCCTCACTACTGAACCTCGGAGGTGGGTGTATCGAAAGGCAATTTCGAGGAAGCTTCCTCCCGATAAACTTGCATGCAGGGACCACAGAACGCATACTCTGTAGTGACAGACTCCAGAAATAACTAACACTTAGGCCTATTACACTGAATCAGGGGCCATAAAACAATAACTCTGAGGCTCTCAGTGATGAAAATTTGACTTCTCTGGAATTCCATTTTTCACAAACTCGATGGTCTGATCCGTCAGACTAATCAGACTATTTACTCTGATAGCGTCAGCCCTGGCGACACACCACTCCTGACTCCTTTTGAGACGTCTCAAAAGTCGCCGCTGCACTGTGCCTGCCAGCAACACAGCAACACACCACTCCTGACACCACTCTTGCGGTGAGAAGCCTCTTGCCACACTGTCCGGTCTGCTCCGGTCTTCTCCAGTCCGGTCTAATCCGTTCCGAAGAGGACCTAATTTCCCCAAAAGTCGTAATGTCTATCTGACACTCGAACTTATTATTGTGCTACCTGTGCTGCTGCTTGTGGCTGTGGCTGTGACTGCTGCAGCACAGCACCAGCAGCCCTAATAGCAGGTTGCAGCGACTCCCACGAGTGTGCTGACTGCTGCATGATGCGAACCTGGACGGCCATTAAGTCTTGAGGCATCCAATCAAATTTAGGCTGCTTGTTGTGCTGCTGCTAGTGGCTGTGGCTGTGCCTGCTGCAGAGCAGCACCAGCAGCCCTGATAGCAGGTTGCAGGGATTCCCATGAGTGTGCTGACTGCCGCATTATGCGAACCTGGACGGCCTGGAAGTCCCGGAACATGCGGTCGAAATCCGCTGCCATCTCCACGTGGCAGCGCTGCAGCTCGCCAGCTAGACGCTGCGCCACGTCAGCGTGCTCCTTCTTGGAATCTTCCAGCTTGCGACTCACCTGCTTATAAAAGGAGAGGTGGGGGATTGATGTGAGCATTTGACAAATTCACACATGAATGCATGCACCCGTCCGTTATGCACACATGTGCATGCATGAGCACAGACACATGCACACATGGTCTGCACTCACAAGCCCCAACTGCACTCACATCTGCAATCTCCTTCTCGATCTCCTCGATCTTCTCCTGCTTCATTGACGTTGCTTGCGCTCTATGCCTGCGCACGCAGGGAGAGAACACACAGCTTTTAACTCAAGACGGAACTCACATCAGGGCTCAAATCTCCTCCTGTTTCATTGACGCATGGGCTCGGTGCTTGCACGCAACGCAGTCATGTGTATGAAGATTGGTTTTGAGACGTCTCATACACGGGTTTGAGACGTCTCATACACGGGTTTGAGACGTCTCATACACGGTTTTGAGACCAAGCTTCATACACGGTGCTTGCACGCAATGCACTCATGTGTATGAAGATTGGTTTTGAGACGTCTCATACACGGGTTTGAGACGTCTCATACACGGTTTTGAGACCAAGCTTCATACACGGTGCTTGCACGCAACGCACTCATAATCTGCAGCGTCCAGAAACCTTGTTCTTTGCCCCAGAGCTCGAGGGTGCTTTAATCAGTAGATCCTCGCAGGGAAGGGATAACAATGAAAAACATCCAGACTCTTTTTCATTGTTTAGAGACCTCAAAAGAGCTCCCAGAATCCTAACTTTTCCTCATACACTTAACTTGCCCTCTCACACTCTCAACTACCCCTCTCTCACTCGCACCTATCAACCCATTCACACTCACAGCTTCCCCTCTCGCACTCACAGCTTCCCCTCTCGCACTCACAGCTTGCCCTCTCGCACTCACAGCTCCCCCTCTCGCACTCACAACTCCCCCTCTCGCACTCACAGCTTGCCCTCTCGCACTCACAGCTTGCCCTCTCGCACTCACAGCTCCCCCTCTCGCACTCACAGCTTGCCCTCTCGCACTCACAGCTTGCCCTCTCGCACTCACAGCTTGCCCTCTCGCACTCACAGCTTGCCCTTCTTGGCTTTGAGGTCTGCCTCGAGTTGGTTCAGATTGCGCCATGCCAGGGAACGGTCTGAGATGGCTTTCTGCACAGGGAGAGGTGCAGAGGGAGGGATGTTAAGAGTGCAGAGAGTCCGTCCGCCTCCAAGGTCTCATCATTCATGCGTTAATAAAAACACATGTTTTTTGAGAAAAAGGTGGAGCAGAGTCTTAAACAAACGCATGTAGAGAAACAGCAATCGGTAAGGAAATATAGAGTTGGAAGCGAATTAGAAGGAACACAGAGCAGAGATTTCATTCCAGGTGAAAATAAACAGCACTGACCTTAAGTGAAAATAAACAGCACTGACCTTAAGTGAAAACAAACAGCACTGACCTTAAGTGAAAATAAACAGCACTGACCTTAAGCGAAAATAAACAGCACTGACCTTAAGTGAAAAAAAACAGCACTGACCTTAAGTGAAAAAAAACAGCACTGACCTTAAGTGAAAATAAACAGCACTGACCTTAAGTGAAAATAAACAGCACTGACCTTAAGCGAAAATAAACAGCACTGACCTTAAGTGAAAAAAAACAGCACTGACCTTAAGTGAAAAAAAACAGCACTGACCTTAAGTGAAAATAAACAGCACTGACCTTAAGTGAAAATAAACAGCACTGACCTTAAGCGAAAATAAACAGCACTGACCTTAAGCGAAAATAAACAGCACTGACCTTAAGCGAAAATAAACAGCACTGACCTTAAGCGAAAATAAACAGCACTGACCTTAAGCGAAAATAAACAGCACTGACCTTAAGCGAAAATAAACAGCACTGACCTTAAGTGAAAATAAACAGCACTGACCTTAAGCGAAAATAAACAGCACTGACCTTAAGCGAAGTAACAAATCGGACATACTCCCTAAGAGGTTCTTCAAGGTTCTCTAAAAACACTTGTGCCTGCACATACGAAATCATATTGGGCAAAACAGAGCAAATCAAATGTCACAGACACACAGAGATCTAACTGAATGCAGCTATTGTTGCAAAAAGGATAGGCATTGTTGCAGTTCGCCTGTCGGTCCAGCTGTTGGTAGTGGCCTAGTTAGACATGGGTCCTAGGCCCTAGTTTTGCTCATGTCTTGGCCCAGTGGCTAACCCACAAGGAAAGAGGAGAGGTCCCATGGGAGACGTGCATTATACGAGTCGCACAGTGCGTGCGTGCGTGTGCGTGTGCGTGTGCGTGTGCGTGCGTGCGTGCGTGCGTGCGTGCGTGCGTGCGTGCGTGCGTGCGTGCGTGCGTGCGTGCGTGCGTGCGTGTGTGTGTGTGTGTGTTTGCACTGCAAAGCATTACACGAAAACTGTATTCAATGTAATGCATAGCAGCAGCACCAATGCGACTGACTCACATTGTTCCGCGTGGCTGAGCCCACAATATCCGCCTTATTGCCAACCTCACTGAAGCACTTCCCCAGCGGCCCCTCCTCCCACTGCCCCAGCGACTGCAGCGCCACTCCAAACTCGCACATTGATGCCCCTAGCTCTGCTCACACGTGGTAGCGAAAGGGGGAGGGGGAGGTGGAGGGAATGGGGAGGGGATGGGGATTAGAACGAGAAAACGGCCCCTCCTCTCTCAGTTGCCAGCACATGGGGAGGGGATGGGGATGGGAATCACATGCTCCGTCTCCAGCTCTCAGTTGCCCAGCACACTTCCTGCTTCACCTCGAACCCACTCAACTTTCTGCTTCCCCTCTCGCACCCACTCACCTTTCTGCTTCCCCTCCCCTCATCCACTCACCTCTCTCCTCCCAAGACCCTCCAAGCCCCATCCCCCACTCCCCCCCTCCTCCACCCACCCACCTCGCTGCTTCTTCACGAACTGCAACGCGTCCCTATGGCAGTCCGTAAGGGCCTTCTCAAGGGCGTCAGCATACCGCCTCACTCGCTCCGTCTCCGCCTCCTCCGTCACCTCCTCCCTCCCCAGCACAGCACTCGCCAGAGTGGTCTGCACGCTGGAGAAGAGGCTCAGAAAGTCGCTGGGCTTGGCCCCCAGTAGCTTAGACTCGGATGTTTTCCGCATCTCCATGGTCTGGTGGGTGGGGAAGATGAGAACGAAAGGGTGAGTGAGCACATGGTGAGTGGTCTGCACGCTGGAGAAGAGGCTCAGAAAGTCGCTCGGCTTGGCCCCCAGTAGCTTAGACTCAGATGTTTTCCGCATCTCCATCGTCTGTTGTTGAGAGAATTTAGGGAGACAGGAGGAGGGGAAAGGAGGGGCAAGAAGGGGGATGAAGTGGCTGGGTGTTAGCATGAAAGAGATTTCTTGTCCCCGCCTCCTCCGCCACGTCCTCTCTTCCCAGCACAGCGTTATCCTTGAGAAAGTGCTGCAGCTCCGCCGTCCCCCCCGCCCAGCACGGGGTGCCGCCATGCAACCAGCACGGGGTGCCGCCATGCAACCAGCACGGGGTGCCGCCATGCAACCAGCACGGGGTGCCGCCATGCAACCAGCACGGGGTGCCGCCATGCAACCAGCAACCCCAACCACCCAGCCTCGCCCCAACCGCTTTTCCCCAACCCACGCACCCATCGGTCCTCACTGTCGTTCATAAACTGCTGCGGCTCCTCAGACACTCCCAGCACGGGATGCTGAGCTAACACCACGCACCAACCCCAGAACCAACCCCACAGACAGCCCCCAGCCATACACACCCATCGCTCCTCACTGTCTTTGAGAAAGTGCTGCAGCTCCTCCGCGCCTCCCAGCAGCAGGGAATGCCGTGCCAACACCACGCACCAACCCCAGAGCTAACCCCACAACCACAAACCAACAGCCCCCTGCCAGACGCACCCATCGTCCCCGCTGTCTTTGAGAAAGTCCTGCAGCTCCTCCGCGCCTCCCAGCACGGGGTGCCGTGCAACCAACAACCCTGGCCACCAACAACCCTGGCCACCAACAACCCTGGCCACCAACCTCCTCCCACCCTCCCCAACAACCACATCTCACCCCTCTCTTTCTCCCAACCCACCCACCCATCGGTCCTCGCTGTCTTTGAGAAAGTGCTGCAGCTCCTCCGCTCCTCCCAGTAACGGGTGCTTCGCCACGAGCCTGATAGCTACCTCCCTCCCTCCCCAACCAAACAACCACCCAACCCCATCCCCTCTCTTTCTTTTTCTCCCCATACACACCCATCGGTCCTCGCTGTCTTTCAGAAAGTGCTGCAGCTCCTCCGCGCCGCCCAGCACGGGGTGCCGTGCCACGCGCCGTACAAACGTCTCCAGCCCCCTGCGCCTGCTCTCCACAAACTCACGGCTGAACCGAAACTTCTCTGTGCCGGCACCACAACCAGAGGGAGAAGGGGAAATAAAAAATGGGAGGAGGGGGGAAGGGGGGAGAAGGGAGGGGGAACGAAGGGGGAGAGGGGGGTAGAGAGTAGAGTGGAGATGGTGAGCGTGATCCTGCTTGCAACGGCCGCGCTCCCTGCTGGTTGGTGGGTACCGCGCTGCGCCACGCGCCTGACAAACGTCTCCAGCCCCCTCCGCCTGCTCTCCACAAACTCCCGGCTGAACCGAAACTTCTCTGTGCCGGCACCATCAGATGAGAAGTCGAATTTTGAGTCGACTCAAAACTCGACTTATCACACACGGCACCATCAGACGAGAAGGGAAGAACGGAAGAAGGGGGAAGGGGAGGAAGACGAGGGGGTGGGGGGGGAGGGGGAGAAGATGGAGGGGTGGGGTATAGCGCAGTGAGAACATAGATTGAGTAGCGAATCTACATCCAAGAATTGAGCGAGAGTACCACCACACCACACCATACCCCACCCCATCCCAACCCTACCTCACAGCACCTCGGGTACCCCAACCGCAGCAGCTTGACTTGCTCGCCTTAAGTTCACTCACCCACAACGTTTTTATCAGGCAGAGGCGGCACAATGGCTCCCCTGTGAAGATCGCCCAGACGGTCGAGCAGCCACTCGAAGTCGGAGAACCGAGAGAGGTCACATCACACCACTGCAGTGCGCCGCATCACACCACCCCAACCCACACCACACCCCACCTGACCCCACCTCATCCCTATCCCTCCAAGCCACCAACAACTCGGCTTGACTCACCCACGACGTTTTTATCAGGCAGAGGCGGCACAATGGCTCCCCTGTGCAGATCGCCCAGACGGTCGTGCAGCCACTCGAAGTCGGAGAACCGGCGAATTACGTACACCTCGCCCTCCGACGCAGGTGACTAAGGTTACCCGTTTCGCCAACATTCCCACCCGGGTGGGGAAAATGGGGAGGGAACGGAAAGTGATGTGCGATGAGTTTGACTCATCCCGTTTACGAAAGCCTTCAGAATAGAAAACCCGGGAACGTCTATCGGGAAAGAACGATAGACTGAAGAAAAACGGAACAGAATCCGGGAAACGATCAACTCAGCATCTCGTACCTTGGTGGTGACTCGATAAGACGTGTACGCGTTGACGCCGTCGCCCTGCTTAACGGGATCCGTGACGGTTATTTCTAACGGCCCTCCGTTCGTTCCACCCCCGCCTGATCGAAAACCCGCTCCCATCGCTGCTGCTCCGCCATCCATGATAGATTCTGGTCGTATCTGAGATACGCCGTGATTGAAATCTCTTTAGATATACTACAGTATTATTGCGACAGTGACGTTCGTGGGTCGTATTTGAGAGAGCGCAAAAACGAGTCCAGAAATAAGTCAGTGTCAACGGTTCCTGTCTAGCGATTTGGCGTTCGAACAAACGTGGCCAATCTAGTAGTGTCAACATTGAAGATTCCTGGGTCGCAACATTTTCTTCCCTCGGGAGCGGCCTACAGTGAGTAGTAGGCGTAGTCCCCTCACAGACCTTCACGAAACAGACGAGACGGCAAACAGCTCAGTTACGGCTGGGTAAGTGTTACGAGTGCAATTGAGTGAACGAACTAGAATTGCACTATCTAAACAAGAGTACAATGAGCGGAGGCATGAGCGAAGAATATATAGCGAAACTACAGTGGTAACGGTAATGGACTGTGGTTGTCGCGCGACGGGCCTAGGACTTAGGTTGGGAAAAGTGTCGAAGCGGAGGCCCGGAGCGCGGGTTACCCGCCGAGCCGTGAGGTCGGGGTGTGATGTGCGAAGGTGGCGGGCGGATTGTCGAAGCGAGGGTTGCGAGTGGTAACGGTGCTGACTGTGGTGCTACAGTGATGTACGCGTTGAGCAGGGATGCGAAGTAAGGAAAAGGAATTTTCCTTACACTACCCCCCCCGTAAGGAGGTCCTCCTTACGAAAGTGCGTGTACATCCCTGAAATTTCGGCTGCGCAGATACTCGGTCATGACGGGGTGGTTTTCAATTCTGTCCAGGGGAACCCAATTGTCTTCGGTGGGTGTACGGTCCTTCCAGCGGAGTAAGAACTCGATCCTTCGGGCTCCTCGAGGGTCGCGAACTCTGTGACTCAGGATTTTCTCGGAGGTGATGATTGGTTCAGTTGGTGGTCTTGTCATGCTGGCTGGGCGATTGCGTGGCAGTTGGCTCGTGGACGGGACGTAAGGGCGAAGTAGGCTGACGTGGAATGAGGGGCTGACGTACCAGTCAGCAGGGAGGAGGAGGTGGGCGGTGACGGGTGTAAGCATGTGGCTTATGCGAAATGGCCCGCAGTATCGGGGGCGGAGTTTCGGGGTGATGGGCAGTCGGAGGTTCTGAGTGTCAAGTAAAACTAAGTTGTCGGACTGGTAATTGACAGGTCTGCGGTGGCGGTCGGCGTTGCGTTTAGCGATGATGTTCGATTTTTTTATTGCGTCTGCTGCCCGGGTCCGTGCCGCTTGTAATATTTCGGCGAACTGTTGTGCTCATGGTACTGGGTTCTCGGGATTCGGGGTCATGGGTACTGTCAGGTCTTCTCCGTAGTTTAGGTAAAATGGTGACTGTTGGGTTGTGGCGGATGGCGAGTTGTTGTACGCGAATTCGATTAGTGGCAGTTGCTGTTCCCACGTGGTCGGGTCGTCACACGTGGCCCTGATGAGTTGTTCCATTGTCTGATTTGTCCGTTCTGTCTGTCCGTCGGTTTCGGGGTGGTATGATGAACTGAACTGCAGTCGCGTGCCGAACTGCTGCCACAGGTTCCGCCAGAAGTTGCTAGTGAATTTCGTGTCACGGTCGCTGATGATCGCGGCTGGTATCCCGTGCAGTCGAACGACGGTGGAGATAAAGAGGCGTGTTGTTTCTTCAGCTGTGATTGATTTTTTGCAGGCTGCGAAATGTGCCATTTTCGTCAGTCGATCGACGACGACCAGGATCGCGTCGTTCCCACTCGCCTCGGCTGATAACCCCTTGACAAAGTCCATCGTCGCCTGCTGCCAAGCACGCTCTGTGGGTGGTATCGGCTGCAACTGTCCCGCCGGCCGCTGTCGTAATGATTTCATTGTCAAACATTGTATGATGTGCTTGTTTAGGCTACAGTGGGTTAGCCTATAGTGGGTACACATTTCTAGGGTTAGGTTTGACCTATTTGTACCCAACACTCATTCTAGTCATTCATTCTCGTTTCTGATTCTGACATGGTATTACGAGCCTAGGTTCCACCTAGGACCGAAACGATAGGGCCCACCGTTTCCGCTAGCCGCGCCCTCGTGCGCCGCCTTTCTTTTCCTGCGCCTCGAGCGCCTCGTTCTTAAGGCCCCCTAAGGCCCTCTCGCGTCGCCCCTTAAGGCCCCTCACGGCACCTCGCGTCGCCCTCTTAAGGCCCCTTACGGCCCGGCGCTAGCCTCTCAAGGCCCCGTGTGGCCCCGCGCTAGCCTCTCACGGCCCCCGATCGGCCCCGCGCTAGCCTCCTAAGGCCCCCGATCGGCCCCGCGCTAGCCTCCTAAGGCCCCCGTCGGCCCCGCGCTAGCCCCCTAAGGCCCCCGTCGGCCCCGCGCTAGCCTCTCACGGCCTCGCCCTCGCCCTGGACGGCCCCGCGCTCTCACTTAGCAGCCCCACCCGACCCCGCGCTCACCCCTCTAGGACCGAGCCGAACCGCGCGACCCGACCGAGCCGCGCGACCCGGCCGAGCCGCGCCGCCCTAGCCGAGCCGCGCCGCCCTAGCCGAGCCGCGCCGCCCTAGCCGAGCCGCGCCGCCCTAGCCGAGCCGCGCCGCTCTACTTCTACTACCACTGCTGATACTGCTACTCCTGCTACTACTACTGCTGCCACTGCTACTGCTTCAGCTATGGCTAGCCCTACACTTCTCTCGTTCAATACTGAGGGCCGCCCGATTAAGTTTGATACCTGGCTCGATGATCTGCACCTGTTCCTCCAGCTCACTGCCAGAGAGGATATCTCGCTGTACGATCACGCACTAGGCACAGTCCCTGCTCCTGCTACTACTGCTACCACTACTGCTCGCTCGCAGTGGCAGACTCGCGATGCCCACGCCCGCTTTGCCATTCGCAACTCCCTGCCAGTCGATGAGCGTGAGCACTTCGGCCAGCATCAGACTGCGCAGGCCCTGTACACTGCTGTAGTTGCGCGCTACTCCTCCCCGGCCTCAGCTGCACTAGGTCGTCTCTCCCTTCCCTACCTGTTCCCCGACCTGTCCGCTTTCCAGACAGTCGCTGACCTCATCACTCACCTCCGTACTAGTGATGCCCGCTTCCGTGCAGCCATGCCCGCTGAGTTTCTTGCCTCCAACCCTCCCCCGCTCTGGCTCACTCTCTACCACCTAGTCACCCGCCTCCCTGACACTCTGCGTACAGTCAGGGACCACTTCCTAGCTCGCTGCCCCACTGAGCTCACCATTGCCGCCCTAGAGAAGGAACTACTTGCAGCTGAGAAGAGTATTGTAGCTGTAGGTGCCTCTCGTGGCGACCCCCGCACCCCTTTCTTCGAGGGGTGTTCCCCCTCCCCCCTCCTCCCCTCTGTCGCCTCTGCTGCTGCTGTCGACCTTCTTGGTGCTGAGCAGGTCGGCTTTGCGTCCGCTCCCAGCGGGCGCCGCAGCGGCAAGGGCAGGGGAGGCAAGGGCGGTGGGGGTGACGGCGGGGGAGGCGGTGGTGGGGGTGGTGGCAGCGGCGGGGGCGGTGGCGGGGCTGGAGGGGCTAGTGGCAGCGGTGGGAGTGGTGGAGGCAGCGGCGGCGGCGGCGGTGGCCGGGGTGGGGGCGGTGGTGGGGGCGGCGGTGGACGTGGCGGCGGCAGGGGCGGTGGTGGTCGTGGTGGAGGCGGCGGTGGTGGTCGTGGAGGCTCTGGCACTGGCCAGAGTGCGCAGCACCCTCAGTCCTCCCAGGAGCTTCGTGAGTGGTACTTACAGCAAGGGGGTGGGGGGGGTAGCCTTAGCTGCACGTACGTCATCCGCACTGGTCGCCGCAAGGGACAGACGTGCGGGAGGGCGCACACTGCGCAGCGCTGCTTCTCTCGCCTAGATGATGCTTGGCGTGCTCAGTTTCCTGACGCTCCTGAGCTCCCAAGAAGGATATCGATATCTATGCTCTTGATTTTGATGTTATTCTCAAAGCAATGTATGCATTGACTATTAGTGGAGAGGAGGACCAGTACCTGAGTGTTCCGCCTGACCCAGGCATCCGCACGAGTGAGGCTGCCGCCCTAGGTGCTTGCGTGTCTGCTA